CTATTTAAATTCACAGAAGCAACGGATGAAATTTCCTCAGAAATTTCCCTTTGCTTCAATCTTGCATATAAAATATCTAGCATGACTTTCCCATTTATGTCACAGACAGAAAATCTTTGTAATTATTTGAGTAAGAGAAATGTTAGTAAATTATGTGTATTTGAAGTTTGTAAATATCCTGTTGCTATCAGTTTATCATACATTAGTATATATACTTTAATTATCAAAAAGCAATTAAAAAATGTTATTTGAAGTGTGTATCCACAGATACAGCTGAGGTGTGTGTTTAAACCTAATTGTTGCAGGTATGTGTTTTTAAAACGCAGTTGTCAACATAACTAGTCTGAATGCCACTGTGTAAACAGATGTAAGTGTGCTTCAAATTTAACAAAATACATATAATACATATATTACATGCATAAGTTATGAAAATAAGTTATGAAATTTAACAAAATATATATAATACATATATTACATGCATAAGTTATGAAAATATAAAGAAAACTGGATTGCATTGCACAATTGTGGTTATACTGTATACTTAGACCCTAAATTACACTCATTTAGTTTCTACTAAGCACCATCCTATGAGTCCATTACACTTAACCCTTTTGAGCTGGATCACAGGTGAAAGGCCATGTCATCTCGTTTGTTGACTGCCATTTAAAATTTTATTAAACTATTTTGTGAATTTATGTCAGTAAGTTTGGTATCAAACTGTAGATTATAATTCAAATTTTAGAACTATACATTACTCAATTTGTTAATTTAAAAGTAAATATTAAAAAAACATAGATAAACATTGATTTTTGTGTGTCATGTGGTATGTTGAATGCAGCACTGATTCAAATTAGATGTTTGTGAAGTCAAAATACTAAGTCTATAGTTTCATATGAATTAGAAACTCAAATTACAGATATTGAAAAGCTAGAATATAAAAAAGAACGTCTTATCTTTTCTATTTGCTAAGATATTGTTCACGTAATAAATCAAACACAGTTGTACCCTGCTCACCTTTTTCCATTTTTGGAAATGCTACCTTATATACACTTAATTCTATATATGACATGAATAACCAATCAGAAGCTCAGAATGTCCTCCTTGTGGTTTTCTCAGCCTTTCTAACATACCTAACGCTAATTCTTTCTTTTGAACCAAGATTTCAATGAGGTATGTTGTGTCTTTAGTCTGCTCGAAATTTCATATTTTTTTTCAGACCAATCGACTCTGTCCTCTATGCATTGATGTCAAATGTTGAAAACACAGAGACAAAATAACATGTTGTAAAATTTTTTCCGCCCACCATGGGGATATCGTTTTCTGCTGGACTGCTCACAGGTGTCCCTTTGCTTTTCAATATAGGGTATCGCAGTCACCCATTGTGCTGTCTTGGGTGTTCTAGATTGTTTTATCCACCAAGATGCTGTAAAGACCTGCAACATCTTACACACACACCGACCTGAAGATGAAAGAAGGGAGACTTTCAAATGTCATTCTCTACAGGTGTTTTGTTTTATAACAGGCAGCTGCTGTCCATTCCAGTTTACTCAGTCACAAAATTTTTTCATCATATAGATGCATCAGAAATTCTATTGATCATTTCCAATCATACCAGTTGTCAACATTCTAGGCATTGCATGTAACATCTCCTGACTATATTATTGTATTTTATAAGCATCCCACCTCAAAACACTACTTGATAGTTTGGAAAATAAGGGTCACAGTGCCCTTTCAGCTGTTAATCTATTGATCAACTGACTGTACTGGCAACTATCATATAATCTTATAAACATCTAATCATGAAATCCTACTTAACTTGTAAGTTAAGGAATACCACATCTTTAACTAAAAGCTGTTTATCAGTGATAATGATCAAAGGTCAGAATGGGTATTTTGGTAAATTATCAGAGCTTTCACCTCACTCTCCTAATATTTCATCTCACTCCCCTCAAACAGCCAGATAAGTACTATCAACATTTACCTGTTCATAAGCTGAGTTGGTATCATCATATAATACAGTGATCCAGCTATCCTCTGGTTCACTAGTTTCTCCCAATTGTAATTCCTGTCCCAAACAGTGTAGGAGATACTTGTCATTGACTTTAGCTTATCAATATGTATTTGCACTCTATGCTACACTAACAGCTCATAGTTGAATGGATTGTGCTACCTGAGGAAGCTGTAAGGATTAGTGCAACTGGAACAAAGTTGTTTATATGAAGCAGGCACTTACTAAAATCATCTTTAGTCTCCATTATTAAAGTTTCATTCTTTCACTGTTTTGTTATAACATCTCTTTTGCACTATGATAACTTTACCCAGTTGCTAATGTGTGAATTCGTGCCCTTCAATTAATGCAGACCTGAACTAATCCACTTATTCCTGCACTGAGATGGATTATACACCACCATCACTTAGAGATGATGTATAATTACATGATCTATTAATTTCTTTGTTGCAAATGCAAATTGACAAAACTTCACATACTGAGAATTTCTATTAAAACTTCATTTATCGAGTCATGTTTCTATTTCACATTTTAAAAACTATATAATTTCATGTATAGAGCCATCTCTTTTGAGTTTGAAAAAAATTTTGAATTTTGTATTTCATATTATTGCAATATTTTCTAAAAATTTCTTTATTTGACTCTGTAAAACAATATTTAGGCTTGACACAATAAAAATTCTGTTCCTGGAATGTATCCTAACTGTATGAATATTATGAGCTCTTAGGCATCATATATAACAAGTATAATTTGTAAATACTTTTTGTTAAAACAGATTCTTAAAAAAATCAATTTTTTTATGGAAATCAGAGTAGATCATAATAAAATAAAACTCTTTTAAACTTTCTTCCTGTTCATTTGTGAAAACAATATATAGTGTTTTCAAGTTTATTATTTTTGAAAATGCAATGTTATGTCCAGAAGTTAATGTTTGGAAAGTGAATGGAAATATTGTTATATTAACTAATATCAGAACTTCATGTGCTGACTAAGCTCTATAAAAATATTCCTGAAAAAACTCAAAAATAAGGGGAAGAGAAATGAAAATATATACTAAAATTCACTGTATTCCATTGCCTGCATCTAGTTGGCATGTGATACTTCATAATACAAATAAATAATGGTAATGAAACAATGGTAATGCAATTTTGGAACATGACAGCATGCACACATTTTCTCAAGTTGACACATTGATTGTCCTGAAAGTAATACAAAGCATAAGTTTTTTGTCTTGAAATATTTCACATTAAAATAGTATTAATGTTTGTTTTAAAAAATATGTACACCTAATTATTTGTTAATTCAAATTTGTTTGGTGTAGGAATTTATTTTTTTTTTTATTAGAAGTTGGTTACACTAAAGGTTGTGTAAATAAGGTAGTACAAAAACAGTGGTGATCATTTTTCATTTGGTTAACAAGGTTACTGTTGTCTGTGATGACTGAGACTGTACATGTTGACACATAAAACATATATTTTGCTTTCTTATATTTTACTATGTTGATATAAATTATTAATTAAAATTATTGTGTAAATAGTTAATGTAAAAATTAAAGAATAAGTTAAAGATTCACAAAGTTTTTTTTAATTTGAAGAGGATGATGTTTTAAGCTAACACTCTTTGTCCGATCGTACAGCTTACAAAAAAAAAGGTGCATGCACAGAATTAAAAAAATTGCATGTGTAACATTTTAAATGTTGAGCATGAAATTTCTTGTAAAAAATTACATCTTATACATAAGTATTACATCTAAAATAACATTAAACAAATTAAAATTAAAACAATATGAAAAAATTAGAATCTATTGGAAAGAAAAGCATTCATTTAAATCAGATGGTTGTAGCATTCCAAGATTGTAGATTAATCTCCTTTCCAGTCATTTTCTTTTGTGAATGTATGTTGGAGCATTAAATGTTCCAGAATCAAAAATTCCTCAACTATATGGTTGTTGATGGTGAAATGTTTGCTTATAGGTGTATCTTGGCTACCTGGTTTAATATGGTTTAGATGTTATCATGCTCGATCGCCAAGTCGGTGGCCTATTTGTCTAATGTATAAACTATTGCATTTTTTGCAAATTATGTAGTAAATGATATGTACAGTGGTACATGGAAAGAATTGTCTTATGTGGAAAGTTGTGTTTTTTCCTCATATATGTGTGGTGCTGTTTATACGTGGGCAGATAACACAGGTGAGTGCGTGGAGTATCATTTTGTTTTTGTTTAAGATTACTGTGCACCAGTATTTCTTTTAAGTTTTTGTCATGTCTGTAAGAAATAATGGAGGAGTCATTGAAAAGAGATTTAGTGGTGGGGTCTTCACTAAGTATTGTTTAAATGTTTAGTATAATATCTTTGATCTTCTTGTTGGTCTGATGGTATGTTAGCACAAGTGGAATATGATTGGTGTGTTCTTTCTTGGTAGGGTTGAGTGTTTGCTTCTGGATATATGAACTAGCACATAATTTTTAAATTCTGCATGTGTCTTTTGTTGCAACCTGTATGATCTGATGAAGAATGCTAACTCGAAACATCATCCTCTTCAAATAAAAAAGATAAATAAAAACTTAGCAATTGCTTAACTTATTCTTTAATTTTGATATCTTTGTCACCTACACAGTTAACTGTATATTTCTTTTTATAAATAGTTAATGTGGTCAAGATTCTTTTCTCCTTTAAAACTTCTGTCACATAATCCAGTGTATTTACATTAGTAAGCTATGTCCACATGTTTATTAGCTTTTCAGTCTGTATTATTATCATATTTATTTTTCTTTGCTTTGATGTAGTTGGCCATGTCTACATCAATGGCTAGAGACCAGACCAAATAGACAGGTGTGTCCAGTTTGTAAAGCTGGTATAAGCAGAGATAAAGTTATTCCATTGTATGGAAGGGGAAGTTCCAAAGAGGATCCTAGGTATATCTTTTTTGATGAAAATGTCAATATTATGTAGTTTATTTCATTGACGAGAACAAAGAGGCTGTATTATTCTTAGATGGAGGGACTTTTATGTGCTTCCCTACACATATCTTTTACATTTAGTACAGTTGTAATAATAATAATAATTTGATGGAAATACTTGATTGAGGTTTTATTTATTCTGTATCTTTCAGATCACAACTTTATTTGTTTCAGAGCTGCTATTTATTGAGATAGCAAACATTTATTTTGTAATTATTCCGAGTGTTTTAAAAATTTAACATTTTTTAAGTAATTATTTTAGGTTAATCAACAAGTTGTTAAAAATTGTCATTGCAGCTATAAGGACTCATTAATGGTCCTGTAACAGACTTGAAAAATCTGTAAAATAGCATTATAATTTACTGTGTAAACACACATTTCAAGTGAGTAATATTACACTGGACAATAAAAATTTGCTGATAAGATTACAAAACAAATTGAAACATACAGGTTACATGATGCCAATACATCCCAGTGATTTGTGATGGTGATGAGTAAACATTGATTACATTGTATATGCCTCTTAACAAGTTTAAATTAGGTTTTGAAATATGTACTAATTTTTAGCAAGAAAGTATCAATACATGATTTGTTTTGGAACTGTATGATAATATAATTTTACTACAGAGTTTACTATTAAAAACAAAGTGTCAAGTTCAGAGCATATTTGAAAAACATAAATCACTTGGAAATTAATACATTTATCTCAATTTATTGATGTACATAATCCTCTTAATTTGTAATAGTTAGGACAGAAATCAATCTGTGTTTGCCAAAATATTGTAATGTTGGAATAAATACAGACCATCTTATTATCATAAAGAAACATACAAATACTGAAGACATAAAAACAATACAGTATCATACTTGAGGTCAAAGAAACTTCATAAACTCTATTTAAAGGTTACTCAATATTTAGTTGATTTGAAATGAGTGATATTTCAATTGCTATTCTTCTGAATTTAGGGGGGAAAATTCTATTTTATATTTTATAATAGCAATTTTTGAGCTACATGAACATCATAATAAAACCAAATATCTTATATTGCTGAGATAACCATCTCCATATTTCTACTAGCATAATTAAATTTAAGTCACAATTTAGTGGTTTGTTTGACAGTCTTACCAAGCTGCTTATTTAAGAACATACTTTATCCTGCTTGGGAGTTTATAACTTACAATTAGGAATTTCATATCAGTGGATGAATCTACCAAACAAAGTCAACTCCCAGTTATTCATGGACTAATTACACTGGACAGCAAAATATTTGCTATTGGAGAAAACTCAAGTGATTTGGATTGATTTGATGGTGCTAATTTCAAAATTGTAGTTAGAATTTGTCTGTTATCTCTAGATTCTGAGTTATTGTAATATTTCAGTACCATGCAATCAACTCAGTACAATAGATTTATGCTGTGAAATTTTGTTTACTTGGACAATTTAATGGATATCGGGCATACAGTTTTGATTGCTTCAAACATTGTCTGTATTGTTTTGGTGTAAAATTCCAAATATATTGTTCATATATGTTATTTGTTCTCTGTATAATTGTAAGGAATTGCAACACTTTTATCTCATTCCCATGCTCATTTACTTCACCCAGGAATCACAAAAACCCTCATGTGTTCAGTTTGCTAAGACATTGGAGAAGTGCCTCAACTGAGCATAAAAGGGATTGAATCAGACACCTTTTTCTGTCAGTTGCTTCTCACTCACTCAGCCACTTCGTATTGCTTCTCTCACAGTCAAAACAAAGTTTGATCTTCTTCCTCACATCATATCCATGATATTATCAAATTCTGCAAAACTTTCTTTTTTAAAATCTTTTAAACTCTAGTTCTATAAACATAAATTCTTTTATATCTTTTAAAAAATCACTTGAAATGCTGGCTACCTTCAGTTCAAGTAAATTCTGTAAGTGCAGAAATAGCCCAAGCAGTTTCTGCTACATTTGTGGAAAATATATTACAATTTCACAAAGAAAAAAACATCACACACAAGGTAAAGGTAGCTTACTACCACTATTTTGGGTGTAAAATTGGTGACCATGAAAAACATTGGGCTCCACATATGTGTTGTTCAGTTTGTACATCTGGCTTGACACAGTGGCTGAATAATAAGAGAGCAAGTATGCCATTTGCAGTTTCCATCACATGGCATGAGCCCAAAGATCATCTAACTGACTGTTATTTTTGCATGCATAATGTTTCTGGATATTCAGGCAAAACTAAACAGTACATTAAATATCCAAACATTACATCTGCAATGAAAACAGTATCTCATGAGGATGGTCTTACAATGTCACATCACCAGTGAATTGGGAAACAGAATAGCTATCCTGTAATAAAGATAATGAATCATCTTCATCTAGTAATTCTATTCCTGTGGCACCTCAACATAAGCTGCCTTATATGATCTCACAAGAAGAACTAAGTGATCTGATTTGTGACTTCTCTCTGTCAAAACAGTATGGGTAACTTTTTGGCTCTTGTTTACAACAATAGAATTTATTAACTCCAGGAACAAGAGTTTCAATTTACCAAAGTAGCCATTAAAGTTCTGCTTCTCACTACAGCATACAAGATACTTTGTGCTTCTGTACAAATGTTGATGCACTAATGGAAGGATTAGGTACTGAATAGCATCCTCAAGAATAGAAACTTTTTATCAACTCACCTAAAGTTAGTCTGAGAGCTGTACTTTTGTGCATTGGGAACACTAAGCCATCAATTCCTGTTTCCCGTGCTGTGAACATGAAAGAAACTTATCAAAGCCTGCAGATTATTTTGAAGCCATCAAATATGATCACCCTAGGTGGAACATATGTGGTGATCTAAAAGTTGTTGCATCCCTACTAGGCTTGCAGAGTGATTATACCAAAAATTGTTGCTTTTTATGTCTCTGAGACAGCTGAGATGATAAAAATCACTTCAAAAAAGGAGGAATGGCCAGTGAGAGAGAGAATTACATACCAGGGAAACAGAATATTGAATATCAATCTTTAGTGAATCCTCAAAATGTGTTTCTGCCCCCAATTCATATTAAATTGGGACTCATGAAAAATTTTGTAAAAGGAATGAACAAAAATAGTAATTGTTTCAGATATTTATCTGACAGGTTTCCAAAAATCAGTGAAGCCAAAATGAAATGAGGTATCATTGTTGGGCCACAAATTCAAGATGATGGTTTTGAAACAGTACTCAATCATAAAGAACTTGCTGCCTGAAAATCATTCAAACTGGTTGTCAAAAATTTCGTAGGAAATCACGGAGATGAAAACTATGCTGTGACGATTGATAATATGCTTGAGAACTACTGGAAAATCGGGTCTGGGATGTCATTAAAGATGCACTTCTTATATTCCGATTTAGATTTCTTCCTAAATGATTTAGGTGCTATGAATGGTGAGAGCTTCCACCAAAATATTTCTACAGTGGAACAGCAATATCAAGTACAATGATATCTTATGATGATGGGAGATTACTGTTGGTACTTACAGCATGAAACTGAGAACATACAAAATAGGTGCAACAAGTCAAGCAGATATTTTGCAACAAAAAAATAATACCATTGTGAAAGTTTTGAACATAGCCTGAATATCTTTTCAGTACATAATGTTGTTACACTCATTGCTTTTTTAAATTTGTATTGCTATTATGTATTGTTTTTGAACATTCTTAAATGCAATTTTCAATGAATAAATAAAGTTATTAAAGAAAGTCATTTTAACAATATATTTGAGAATACTTTTGAATAAATTTATTATAACTTGACAAGTAGAGCTGATCATTAATTTTCAACATGATTTTTAGAATCAGAATCATCAAATTACTCAGAAACAGTTGTATTTTTTCTAGTGTCAGAGAAAAAAAAAATTTTTTTTTTTTTTGGTGCTTGATCTTAGTATTTGAACATCAAGTGAACAGTGCATTCAGTCAAACATTATCAGATTCTGATGAAACTTGGTGGATATATGTAGAATAAAATTTCTCGTTGTCCTGCCAAAATGGTCTATGTCTATTGATAATGACAGACGTGCGGACACATTTTCAGATTTTTTGAGAGCCAAATATGATCAACACTGCATGGTGGAGGTATGTGCTGTACTGAGTGCCACTCTAGTTTGTTTTTATTTTCAAACAATTTTGTCTGTGCATATTTTGTGGCTTTTATTTTTCACAACCTGAATTACATAGCAGTAGTAATTTCCATGCTGTCTAGTGTTGAACATCTGGACTTTGTTCACTCTAGACTATCACAATGGTGTTGGGTGCTTCATTGTCTATTAGTGGACATGATGGCTATTATGCAGAGGATGGGGGAGGCTTGCATGCAGCCTGAGCCCTTTGTGGGTCTTGACATGGACTTCTATCCTCCTATAATTCCTGTCTGTGAGGATGTGGATTTTAGGCAGTCTTTTCTCACTGCCTAAATTTGCAAGTAATTCTTCCAGTGCAGACATTCTGCATCATTCTGTTACTTTTCTTCTCAGATATGTTACCTTTTTCATTCTCTCCTTTCTTCCTTATCCTGTTATCCAAGTCCATGCTGAAAAATGTTTTATTTCAACTTCACTCTTGTGCTGGTATGCCTTGTCCTACGTATGGTTGCACATATTCCTTGGCTTCCAATCGAGCTGAAGCCCTTTTCTTGGAGTCTGATCCAGTGTTCTCTGTTAGTCTTTCTCTAGCTCAATTTTCTTGCCTTTACCTTACTTTCACTACCCTTTTCATTATTTACCTCCATTTATCTCATTTTGGAAGCAATCCACTGTTCCCTAGAGGACACTCATATCCTTCCTTTTTCATACATTGACATATTCTCCTTCCTTGATCTTGTCCCTTCATATCCAACTGTGAATAAAAATCAGGTCTTAAAAGTGATTATATTATTTACAAAAAAACTTGTGTATGAATGAAAGTACCATATTTTTACTAAATCAAATTACTTACTA